TTGGACATTCCTTCTGCCTCCTGTATCAAATTCAAGGAAATTCGAAAAACTATCACACATCTCTTGGCACATTCTTGATGCACTTTTGATGCACTTTTGATGCACTTTTGATGCACTTTTGATGCACTTTTCCTTTTTTTACATTTTACTAATTTTGCAAAAATCAACAAACAAATTACGTAAAATCTTCTGGATTAGTAAAATTACTAAATTAGTAAAATTACTAGCTTTCGAGACTTAGGGTTGGGCTCGGGGAAACTGCTTGATCGTGGGTTCTGACTTTGTGGGGAAAATTTATGAGCCGCAATTGGGAGGCACAAGCCTGATGGATGCTTTCCTTGCCATCGGGGCAGCATCCTATGCTGTTCCTGCCGGCTCTACGCACGCAACTTCGTTGCATTCGTGTGGAAGTATATGCTGAGTTGTGGCGGGAGGCATGCAGTCAGTGGTTCCAAGGACACTAGCCATACGTTCTGAGGTGATGTTCATCGAGCTCCTGGAGGCTTTGGGCAAAATTGGTGTGGGTCGGAGCTGCAGCAGGCCAGGAAGTCCCCGCTACAAGTGTCGCTAACCCACCGTGCTGTGGCCCACTCAGCCCCCTGAGCACCACCATTCTAACCTCACCTGCAGACCCCCACAAACACAGAAGTTTTCCAGCTTAACTGACTAAACTCATCTATTAACGGCAAACTCGCCATCATCCAAGAACCGATGTTGTCACCATCCAGTTGTTGGCACCGCCGTCGTCTGAGATCAGCTAATGCCAGACGCGTCCAGGAACTCCTTGCAAAGGCTGCGGCTGAGCATTGCATCCTCATCCTCCTGGAGGCCGTGCCTGATGCTGTAGCATTCTGGCAAAGTGGAGGGCCGCTGGGTTTGCACCTTGAGCTGACATGTTGGCTTGTGAATCAGAAATTGGTGAAGTTCCACTTGAGCGATTTTGTTGGGAGCCGGTGGCCCTTGCACTGAGCGAAAAACTCACTTCACTTGAGGGTGGCGGGCCGCAGCAGAAGCAACCAATGAAGAGCACGCGGAGCTTTGCACATTGGGGTTGGGTAACTGGCTAAAAGGCCAGCGTACCAACACCCCAATTGTCTGACAGGTTCTGTGGCAGTTTGTGGAATAGTCGTGCTTCACCTGCCACGGTTTTGCAGTCTTGAGAGTGCTCGTGCTACAGAATGTGCTGCGATCTATTGTCTGATTTTTTGCAACCGTCGGTCTGGTCGACAAATTCGGGCATTGCATGACTCATGACAGTACCAATTTTGAAAGATTGTGAGGCAGAGAATGCACAGATCAGCTGAAGGTGGTGAGGTTAAAGAGTACAAAGTCGCAAGAGCAACAGATGGATCCGTCGCACTAGGAAGTGGAGGCGTTGCAGATAGCCAGGATTGATATGGCAGGATGCGAAGAGCCATTGACATACCGATCACTGATGATGTTTGGACCGGAGTGGATGAAGCCATGTTGACATTTTGAACGTTTGAGATCTGACTTGGCAGGTTTTTTTGCTTTAAAGTCGTGCGTTTGTCTCACATGGTTGGTGCTTGCTGGTAGCACGGCAGGTTCCCAACCTGGTCATGCTGAAAGATCGTCAATATTTATGATTGTTGAAAGTTGAAAAGTACTAGATTTGAGAAAGTGACATAGAAAGCATGAGACTAATGCGCTGTCCGCTTGAGTTGTGGCTCAGGAGTAAAACAGAGCTTTCGCGCTCTGGGTTTTGCCCACTTGTTTAGTGGTAGCGGAGCCCGGCACGGCCGGGCAGTTCGACCCGCTGTCATGGCGGGAGCTGCGCATGGAGACTTTGGAGCCGCTGGTCAACGACATAGACCTCGACGGCGTCGAAATCGTGGCGCTGCGGCTGGTGATGGCGTGGGAGGAGCAGAACGACATCAGGTGGGAGTTGCAGAACCTTTGCACCAACCTGCGGCTGGAATCTTTGCAGCGATGTGGTTCAGTTCAGTTGCTCATTCACCATCCACCTCCTGGTTAAGTTCCCATGGTGTTGAGACTACAATTTTATTTTTTTGAAGAATGAAATCTGTTATCTTAGGAGAAACCATATATAATAAATCGTCCCTGCAGGCTGAACCCAATGTGGACCTCCTGTCCTTGCAGCATCAGCTGTGGAACTCTTTGGCGATGCACGTGCCTCAGGCCACCTCTTCGGCCTCTGATGCAACCGCTGGAATGTTTTGGGATGCAGTTGCCATGTAGTTTCAGCCCAAGAATGCAGCTATGGACGCCAGGAATGGGATAGCCAGGCCGCTCAGTGGCAGGCTGCCCTGTGCAGGGCAATGCTCAGTGGCAGCAGTCTGTGCAGAGTTCTTGGGGGATCCTCCTGAGTGGACCGAAGATGAATGGCTCCTTTGGATCAGCATGAGCCACCGACAGAGGTTCCGGGCAACGCATGGATATGAGAATCCTTGAGGAGGCCAATGGCAGAGCTACTACAGCGCAAGTGCCGCGCGAAACAGCATGGAATTGGGACGTCCAAAAGTGGTCGGAACATGTGGCTTTTAACATTTTGACTTCGCAATGTGCTTCGCGCCGCAACGGTGTGCACTTTTTCGACATCACGGAACTTCGAATAGTGCTCCAAACGTGAGGTGCCTTTAGCTTTTTCACTTGCAAATGTGCTTCGCGCCACAACGACGTGCACTTTTTCGACATCTCACAACTTCCAAAAGTGGACCGAACATTGTTTAGTGCATTTTGACTTGGAAATGTGCTTCTCGCCACAACGGCGTGCACTTTTTCGACATCTCAACTTCCAAAAAGTGGTCCGAGCATGGTGTGCTTTGTACACTTTTGTGCTTCGCGCCACAACGGTGTGCACTTTTTCAACATCTCAACTTCCAAAAGTGGTCCGACATTGGTGTGTTGAATACATTTTTGACTTGGACATGTGCTTCGTGCCACAACGGCGTGCAACTTTTCATCTCTCATCTGACCACATGGCTCCGCACCCGCCGCTTTAGCGAGCCTACTTTGCGACCCTTCGGAGCCACAAATCATTGGCAAAACATAGTGTTTCACGACTTTGCTACCTTTTCGCGCACCTGCATCTTCTTTCTTCTCACTCTTTCTCTTCTCTGATCTTCTCTCTTCAGCTCTTCTCCTGTCTGACTCTTCCCACCTCTGCTTTTCCATCTGTCCATGTTGTCGGAAGTTTGACTTAAACTTCCTTCGATAAGGTTATTCGATACTAAACAGTTTAAAAGTTTTTCTGTATATCCTCCGGTGTCATCAAACCTGGCTTCCTGGATAATTAATTTTGACTATATGTTTTACATTTACATATTTATATATATATAAATAATGTCTTTTCCCAGCTATAAATTTCCATTTGTAGGGCATTTCTAATTTCCATGTCTGATGGCACCATTCTGGTAGCCACTAACGGGATGATGGGAGAGCATGTGCAACCACAAGGTTCAACAAAAATGTATTCGTCGAAAAGATGCGGAACCGTGAATTAAATCACTATTTTCGTATAATTTCACTGCTCGATTTTTCTCCAAACACTGTGGCCACACTGAGGGGCCCTTACGGTAAGAGTTAAGGGCCGGTGTTCAATCAAGGTGGTATCCGGGGTGTCCGGGATTTTCCCTTTAAATTTCCGCACAAAATGCCTCTTGTGACATGTCCATGTGCATTTCGCCTGCGCAGGCTCGCACAAAATGCTTGCCCCGGCATTAGCGTACGGCACTTTTCCTGTAAATTTCCACGCAAAATGGCTCTTGTGGAATGTCCCTGTACATTTCGACTGCGCAGGCTCGCACAAAGTGTGCTTCCCGGTCTTGGGATCGGTCTTCCTCCTCCACATCATCCTCCTCAACATCATCATCTTCCTCCTCCTCTTCCTCCTCCTCATCCTTAACATCCACATCATCATATTCCTCTCAGCTTCCTCTCATCTTCCTCTTCTCATCATCGTCATCATCATCATCACCATCATCATCATCGTCGTCATCATCATCATCATCGTCATCGTCATCGTCATCATCATCACCATCATCATCATCATCGTCAACCACCAACCATCACCACCACCATCAACATCACCATCATCATCAACATCACCATCATCATCACCACCACCATCATCATCATCATCATCACCATCATCATCAACATCACCAACACCATCATCATCATCATCATCATGACAATCATCATCATCATCATCATCATCATCATCATCATCTCCAACATCAACATCACCATCATCATCAACATCATCATCAACATTAACATCATCATCAACATGTTAATCATGATCTTTTCACTCCCCCCACACTGTTCGGGGTCTCTTGCCGTTTTTTGGTGATATAATCATTTATTTTTTTTGTAGTTGGTTATTTTTTTGGGGGGCGGGATAAATAAGAAACAACGATCCAGTGGTCAGGAGGAAGCCTTGAGCTGAACTATGGTAGCTATGGTTGCATCTATTTTCCCAAAAACATCAGGAATGAGTTCAAGGTAGAGATGATTTCCTTTTAAATCTGGAATGATATGGATATTCTTTTGGCTTGTAAACTCCATTACCGTAACTAGTTGGACATTTACACATATACATCCAATCACTTAGCTAATGAACTGCGTCATCACCTTGTAATTATCAAACGATTGGGAAAATAAGGTGGGATAATATGGGATACACATACTTTGGTAGTGAAAACAATTGCATGGGAGAATGTATGTACTCTATTTGCATTTGATTTTTAAATATATATATATATGTTTATTTACACAGTATGTATATTGACTGGAAAATATATGGACATTGGCTATGGAACTATTCACCACAATAGCTCTGTAGACGCCTGATATACACAACCACATGTTGTATATTGTGTATATAATATATACATATTCTATTTGCAAGCCCAACATATCTCTATACTACATGTCAACTGTATACGCATGAATTCATGATGTTTAATTGATTTAACAAAACGCGTGTACTGCTATGAAAGCACACTGCCCTCCAGGAAGAGGTCGACGCAGTTGGCGCATGACTCTTGATTGCATTGAGTCTAGCCGGGACCCTCAAGTTACTCGGAAAAAACTGCATATTTGGCCATAGTTTGCCATATTTGGGGTGCAGTTCCAGTGAAGTAGATAAGTGGATAGATTTCATCACAGTCATAGGGGTCCCATATATCAACTTATTGGGCTGAATTCAGCATCGTTTTATCCATCAATAGCCCTAACTGCACAATCAAGTATGTCGCCCGTTTGGTTCGTACCTTCTCTCAAAAATGTTCACATATATATATATACATAATTTCTTCCAAAAACATATATATATATATTTAAATAGTAAAACAAATTTACAACAACCTCCATTGGACGGTCCGAACAACCCTTGGTCCCACAGAGATTTCCGCCGCAAAATAGGTGTTCTGTTTACGTGCCAACTTCAAGCTTGGATGGACACACACACACACAAACTCTTTCCAGAATGTCATCAGCGGCCAATTGAGTGACACAACATATATTTATGTACTGTACCACAAAAAAAATAGTTGTTTGGCTATGTAATGATTCCCTTGCATAGACCTTTCATATGTTACAGTAAGATTCCTCGAGTTTAGGTAACTGAATTTTCCCCTCATAGAAAAGTTCTGACAGCAGATTTGCGTTTCGCTGTACTTATCATATTTCGCAGATCCTGTGGATATGGGTAAAGTTCAATCACCACCATTTGTGTTGATTTAAGCAAAGCTTTGCAGTTATGGCCCTTAACACTTGCAAATGACGAGACTATAACTCCTATAACTAAGATTATATATCAGAAGAATCCCATTTATGATTCTTATGGGCCATAGCTGTGGGATGCCATCACCAGTTCAATGTGACCAGCATGGTCCAGCCGAGGTTTTGGCCTGAAGCCATGGTTGTTAAAGTTCTGGCGAGATGCCAACACCAGGCGCCGTGAGCTTGTCTGAGGCTACTGGCGGCTACCTATTTTGTTTAGACCCAGGGGAGCAAAGGTTTTTGGTCATTCTGACCAGATAACTTATATAGGGTCTTTTTGAGTTACTGTATGTTGTAATGACGATCCACTTGAATACCCAGACGCTGTTTTCGGTCCAGTCATTGTGTACGCAGTTCGCGTTTGCGTTTTTCGCATGAAATAGCAAGACCTACAAGGTGGTGCCGTAAGTTGTAAATTGGTTTCTATATGTTTCTATACCCCATTCACATCCGTTCGCTGTATAAATAAATATATATACATATATACAATATATCATATGAATACATATATATTAGGGTGTCGCTCTACCACGTTTTTGAGGGGTCTCTTTAGAGCCTATGTCTGCCTCCATTTTCTGCATTACTGCTCGCTTAACTTTCTCCATTTTCTGCATTACTGCTCCCTTAACTTTCTCCATTTTCTGCATTACTGCTCCCTTAACTTTCTCCATTTTCTGCATTACTGCTCCCTTAACTTTCGCCATTTTCTGCATTACTGCTCCCTTAACTTTCGCCATTTTCTGCATTACTGCTCCCTTAACTTTCTCCATTTTCTGCATTACTGCTCCCTTAACTTTCTCCATTTTCTGCATTACTGCTCCCTTAACTTTCTCCATTTTCTGCATTACTGCTCCCTTAACTTTCTCCATTTTCTGCATTACTGCTCCCTTAACTTTCTCCATTTTCTGCATTACTGCTCCCTTAACTTT